CATGCTGGGAAAAGTAAAAAATTGAGGGTGAAACTTCTAATACAAAAGTTGAGCCTGACTCAAAGAAAATAGGCATAGAGGAAGTTCAAATGCCAGTAAACAAGGCTAAAAAGAATAAAAAGAAAAAGAAGAGGAAACATTTTATTCTGATTCTAAGCTCATATTCAGACTTGTTACCCTTTATCTTTGAAAGTGGCCTCCTAACACCTATTCCTCCAAGGCCTAACACTTATTTATGTCCAGATTAGCTAGGTGTAAAGAATTCAAACGGCTATCATTTTGGAGATTTTAGCCACTCTACGGAAAGTTATGTGGTCATGAGATTAAAATCTCAAAACCTCATCACGGAAGGTTGTTATGCTTTAAAGATGGAAAACCTAAGCACCTCAAAAGCTAAAATCTTGTCGATAAAGTGAGATTTGAAAACCAATGTATCTTCCAATATATTAGATAAAAGTTAAACCTTAAAAACGAATATCTTGATGATTGGTCATAAGGTCTTCAAGATGGTCATAATAATGGCAAGGAGAAAGTGATGTCAAAAAAGCTTCTACTCAATTTTCCTTCATTTTTGTACAGCAAGTTATATCTCAAGTTTCTCAAAGCCCAATTAATTACTCTATGTCTAGCTAAGCTTCTGCTGCCCCCTTATCTAAGTTGGTATAATGAGAAAGTTTCCTGTGAATATAACGCCGGAGCCCGAGGACACTCCATCAAGAATTGTGGTAACTTCAAATGACAAGTCTAAGACCTTTTGGATCATGGAATTATAGAGGTGGATGTTAACAATCAGTTAGTTTTGGTCAGACAGTTGGGAATCAGATCCCATAATGGAGTAAGTGAGGTCGAAACAAATGATGTGTATACTGAAGAGGACGTGAAGAAATAAAAGAGCATAATCAAGGAAAGCGAGGTATGTGAGGCAGAGTTAAAGGATTCAACTTTTGAGAATTATCTGACGCTAAAAAAGAGAAAGAGGTGGGAAATGATGAGAAAAAAGTTAAAGGAGAGCTAATTCGAGACTGAATGCAAAACATGACTTGGAAAAATACGACCCTCAAGGTTTTTCAAGTGCCCATTTCTAACTTGTTATCCCCTTTAATCAAGAGTAAACACCTCACTCCAAGGCCTTTGAGCATGAAGACTAGCTCATTTACTTATGGCTATGACCCGAATAGTGCTTGTGATTTTCGTCTGGGGGCATTGGGCAATCACACTACAAGTGCATACAATTGATGGGAGAGATAGAAAAACTTGTTAATAAAGGAGTCCTGACAAAAGAAATGATCGAGAGATAGGGAGTAAGTGAGGGTAAAGACCCTAATATAATTGGAACCCACCATTCTAGGAGAAATAGGACATTCTGGCTGAACAAGTGAAGGTTGTGCTCCACCATAGTCACACTTTATGTTTTCAACATCTTGTTTGATATGTTTTTTGTATTTTCACAGCTTTCTTTTTGTAAGGATATTTAAATGAATATATGCTACTTTAAAAATAATGAACATTGAACCAAATTTGTAATCTTGAAATTCTTTGAATATCAACTAAACTAAAATCTCTTTAAACGATTAGAGTTATGGATCTTTGACAAAATGACAAGATTAAAAACTGATAAAACAAGGACCATTGACCTTATCCCAGAAGATACACTCGAATATCATACCCTTCTCTTGCAAGGACCAAGCTAGCATTCTCTCCACATTAAGGGACAATTAAGGGCTTGGAATTCATGTACGCAAGGATGTGGACAAATTGTTTCATCTTGTACATGAGATTGCAAAGTTGATTGGTTTCTACTTTTGTTAATGACATTCAATGATGATCATAATCTTCACATATGGAATAGTCGAGTAGGAGAATCTAGTTTAGGTCAGTTGCTTGGAAATTGAACTCTAAGGATGAGATTTTCTAACTTTCAACAACACCTGGACTATAACAGATTCTTCTTGACAAGCTTAAGAAATTAAATCTCTATACCCAAAATGTAATTATATATGTATACAATAAAGCTTGAGCTATCCCTCTAGAGCAATTGGTTAAATGTCCCGGCTTTATGGATAGATTCAGCTAATCCGATAAAGCTGAATTCAGTTAGCCAAACAATGGTCAATTAGATCGAATTTACTAAATAAGGAGTTTCAGTAAAAATGGACTAAGGGAGTTAAGGAACACCTATTATAGTTAATTTCACACGATCACTCAGGAATTTCCTTTTTATATGGATATCTCTGCACTGCCTTTGTTAGAGGATTCTACAAAGCTTGAACAAATGAAAGATTTCAGAGAATTGGCTTTGTTAGAGTATTCTAAAAGATTTAGCAATTAATTATGCTTGTTGCGACATTTTGTTTCATCCAATTAAATACCAAGCCAGAAATAAGGGTATGTATAACATTCTAAAGAGAATGGACAAGAAGAAAGAATTGATGGATGAAACCGTAGAAAATAGGAAGGCAACTTGAAACAACCCATCAATTTTGACACTTGTCAAAGAGCTATAACTTTAAAAATATTAAAGCGTTGTTGATTCTTTTGATATTCTATGAGCTCATGTTTATGATTTGATTCGATTGTGAGCCTTAATTAAGGGGAAAATTTTTTTAAAAAAATCTTCCATTATTTGATTACTAAAATAAAATAAAAGAGAAAAAGAACAGTCTCAAATGTGAAAGGTTCTCAAAGAAGATGAGGCTCATTCTACCTCTATTCGAGAAAAAGAATAAGTGATGCCAGAATAATGAAGCATTCCACAATCTTAAAAGCAAATGGTCCGAGAGATCAGAATAACTTGAGGATAGAACTTGTAACACTTTCTCGTAATGTTGTTAGTAATCCATCGAGAAATAGATGATTGCCTTATTAAAAAGGGAACATATCCTGGCTCATGGCATAATGCAAGAATGAGAACAGTCAATGATGAAATTTTAGCACTCAAATAGGGATGGGTCATGAAAATACCCACTTTGGAGCATGACTAGAAACCCAAATCATGTTGAGATAACAAGGTTCAGGCCAAGAAGACATTGTAAAACAAACTAGTTGAGTATCAATTAACTATAGAGTTCCAAAAAACAGCAACTCTAAAAGCGTATTTGAGCCAATAACAGAAAGAGGCGTCAAGATCATATTATTGACCGCAGTAAGAATTCGAGAGAGAAAACATTTCCTCCAAAATAAAGACAGAAAACAAAGACCACAAGATGATTGGGAAGATCTTCAGAAGTTGCAAGCTTAAAATTATGAGTTTCTACACCGATATATGAGTAAACCCTAGAGAAGAGTGATCAAGAGAAAAAGGCATGGTTCCCTACTTAGGAGTCAAAGAAAATTGAATCAACATTTATGCATACACGAGAACGTTATTGCATAAAAGAAAATACATTATATTGCATTCGTATTTCACACATAAACGTATGGTTTTTACAAATCTTTCAATGAAAAGAGAAGATTCATGATACTAAAATCTCAATAAGTGGAAGCTAGAATTCAAACCTAAAATACAGGGAATTAGGTTTAAGGAGGCAGTACATGAAAATAGGGTGGGCCAATCCATAGAGGAAGTATTACTTTGAAGTGGGGCATGTTCCTCGACCATTAAGTCGTTTTATAAGTTAAAAAATGAGAAAGGTTTATCATTTAAATCTAAAATGGAAATTGTTGAAAAGTATTAAAAGTTTCTTACCTAGTAAACTATTTCCAAAATTGGTAAGTCCTTTGGACCATCATTAAGTATTTTGAGTATGATACTTAAATCCTTCGAGTCATCTGTAAATCTTTTCGAGCAAGATGATAAACCCTTCGGGCCATCCACAAGACCTTTGGGAAGGATGTTTTCACATGTCTCTCGAAAATGAGAAAGGTTTCTCATTTAAATCTGAAAATTGAAATTTTTGAAAAGTAAGAAATTTCTTACCTAGTAAACTATTTCCAAAGTTGGTAAGCCTTCGGGCCATCAGTAAGTCTTTCTAGCATGATGCTTAAATCCTTTGGGTCTTCTGTAAGTCTTTTAAGCAATATGATAAGTCTTTTGGGCCATCCGTAAGACCTTTGGGCAGGAGGTTTCTACATGTCTCTCGAAAAATGAGAAAGGTTTCTCATTGAAATCTGAAAAGTAAGAAAAGTTTCTTACCTAGTAAACTATTTCCAAAATTTATAAGTCCTTCGGGCCATCAGTAAATCTTTCGAGCATGATACTTAAATCCTTCGGGTCATCTGTAAGTCTTTCGAGCAAGATGATAAGTCTTTGGGTCATCCATAAAACCTTCGGGCAGGAGTTTTCGCATGATTTTTCAAAAAATAAGAAACAATTTCCAAAGTTTCTCATTTAAATTTTTTTTTTAAATGAAATTTTTGAAAAAGTAACCGATTCAGAGTCCAAAAAAAGTGAGAGATTCAACTGACACTCAAGTCGTGACAGACTCCCATATTCAGTGGTTGCGAGACAAGTTTCCACAAGAAAAATCGGTTTTCAAAGATTATCTTGAAGTCCAAATCTTCATGTATGAGTTTTCAAATTTGCAAACACATACTAACAAGTGGTAATGTTTAATTTGCAGATTTGATATTCTCGAAGACAAGTCCGTCTCGATTCAATCTTCCTTGAGTAACAGTGAAATGAATCAACATCCCCATATCTGATTTTCCCTCAAGAAGAAGTGGAACAGATCCCTCTCTTTTAAGATTTGATATTCTCTTAGTAGCAGTGGAACAAGTCTGCCTCGATTCAATCTTCCCTGAAAAGCAGTGGATTGAATCAATGACCCCGGATATGATTTTCCCTCCAAGAAGCGGAACAGATCCCTCATCATATTCCAAAGCATGAAGTTGACTTGACGAAAACTCTTTGTCTCTTCGTCTTTGCCCTATTCTTGTTGACACAAGAATGGGCAAAGAGGGGCAGCTCTCGATAGCGGTTTTCGTCCTGACGTTTTATTATTATTATAATTAATTAGTTAATACTTTATTTTATTTAACATATCCAAATACAACAGCCCAAGTTGGGTCCCAATTACAAAGGGTCATCTGACCCAAACACGAAGCCCAACAGCTAACCCAACCTATCAGACCCGGAGCCCAGTAACCTACCTAGGTGAGACCCAAATCTGCTAGGGTTTCATCCTTAACATCTCAGCCGCCCTTCACCCTCAGCCATTAGATATGGAATGATCCAACGGTCCATATCGAGTCTCAACTACTCGTTTCACCCACTCTCCGGCCACCGACGCCTCTAGCAGTCCAAAGTCTTGCCATGTCAGAAACAAGTCAGCAATCAACCCCAACTAAATCCACATGCAATGACATTTTCTGTAATCATTTCATAGAAAAAAAATCAGCAAAATTCGTAAACTCGGGCTTATAAAACCCGAAACAAAAATGTAATAAGGGTTTTTCCTCTAAGTTTTCAGTTTCGAATAAAAGAAAAATGGAAACTTTAAAGGTATAATTTTTGTGTGTTTCTTTTTGTGTTTGAAAACAAAGCAAAAAAAAAGCCAAGCATTTCTGAAGTAGAAAGGAAACAAAAGAAAGGAAACAAAAGAGAAAGGGTTGATTCATACCTTAGTTAAGGGAGTCGATGGAGGGGAGTCGGTTCGTCTTCGTTGGTGGTCGGAGTGTGGAAACTGAAAGTTTGGGGGCTCATTTTTTGGTGTTTCGGGTAGTTTTAGCCTGAGGTAGGGGTATAGGGTTGTAGATCTAAACAACGACAGGGAGCGAGTTGTGGCGGCCGACAGTGGGCAGGTCGAGGGAAAAAGAGAGAGGAATTTTTTTAGAATCGGTTTAAAATGAAAAAAACAAATAAGTTTTATTATAGAGGAAATTTCGGAGCAAATTGCGTTTAGGTCTCCCGAACTTAGTCACATTTTGCAAAGTAACCATTGAAAGGGATAATTTTCATAATTTGCCCATTTATGTTTATGCTTTGCAATTTTTTTGTTTAATTTCTGTTTAGTCCCCCGACTTTTAGCACGTTTTGCATGTTAGTCACCTGTAGGAAATATTTTTCTAATTTACCCATTTTTATGTCTGTTATATATATTTTTTTGTTTAATTTCCGTTTAGTCTCTGCATGTTTGGCGTGTTTTTATAGTTTAGTCATGTGTAGATTAGGGACTGATTTTGTAATATCCCCTTTTTATTTCGAATGTATATTTTAGGCTAAAAAATGGAAAATTATTAAATAGCCCCTATAGTTTATGTATGGGTATATTTTGAACCTGAATGTGTTTTTATTATTTTAATTTTTCCATGCAATTTTAATTTACTGTAATTTAGTCTCCACGTTTTATTTTTTTTTTCTTCGCAATTTTCACTTAATATTGAAAATGCTCATTTTAGCCACTTGTATACTTTATTTGTTTTAATTTTGGCATGATGGTTTGATTGTTTATGTTTTAGTCCCATTTTTATTTTATTTAATTTTTACATGTTACTTCATTTAGTCCTAATTAATTTTTGCATGATACCCTCCTAAGCATCACTTGACTTGAATCGAAATAAATTGACTAAGGGTATATTTGATAATTTTAATATTGTCGTAAAGTGATTGTCTTAACGTATAAGAAAGTACTTTCGATAATTTTAAAATGAAAGTTTATCCCATTTAGTGACACTAATTAAATCGAATTCATTTTAAAATTCTGAGATCGAGAAAAAGATCATGTTCTTCTAATTAAATTCATAGAGAAAAGACTGTTAGATCGAATCTAAGGTCTCGTCTCAAGATATTTGAATAATTGAACATCCTTATTCTCATTAAATATTGGTAAATAAATAAATAATTATACTTGCTTGATATAGGCTTTTTTTAATTCACTTATTTTTGCATGTGTTTTCCCTATAGGTTTTCTAAATAAAAACATTCAAACCGATATTGAGAAAGTAAATCTTTTCATTTCGGTTGGAGTAATAATGATTGCTTTAAGGCATGAGAGGTTATTTATTCTCGATTGGAAATAATTTGATATTGATGTTTCTCTCGAATTAATATCGATTTTTAAGATGGAATAGTGATATCTCTTTATTTCGATTCGAGCAATAAATGGATGCTTTAAGGTATGAGATGTCATTTATTCTCGATTGTAAATCATTAGTTATCATCGTTTTTACTTGAATCGATATTGAATTTTAAGACGAAATAGTAATATCTTTTTATTTCAATTGGATAATAAATTACTGTTTAATACACAAAAGATCATTTATTCTTGATTGGAAATAAGTAGATATTATCGTTTTCATTCTTAAAATTATGTGTGTTTATTTTGAATTAATAGTGAACTTTATAATGAAATTTTAATATTTCTTTATTTCGATTGGAGTAAGAATTGATTGCTTCAATGTATGAGAGATCGATTATTCTCGATAGGAAAAAATTAATATTATTATGTTTTCATCCAAAAATTCAAAGAACATTGTTTTTTAGGGGATCTTAAATTACATTAGACTCGAACTCGTAAATTTCATTACAAAGATAATTAATTAATCGACTAGGTACCGATTTAGGACATTGTGATGATGTTAATCCTCCTCATACGTAACTGACTCCCGAACTCGAATTTTGGTCATGCAGACCGCAAGTTTATTGTTTTAATTAAAATTAATATTTTATTAAAATGACAAATAAATTTTTGGGTGCCCAATCACACCCTAATCAAGGATTAGTGGTGACTCCTCAAACCACGTTTTATCATTAATCAGTCATCAAAAATTATTCGAACGAGACCTCATTTTCCCCTTTGGAAGAAACCGTTTGGACAGAAAGGGTGGTTGTATACTAGGAAGAAATTTGTGTTGATGGTTTATCCCTTGGCCATGATGGTCTAGATCGGAATAGGAAGAGGGATTGGTCAGTTCTTCCTGCTTCGATCCTGAACACTTCCCAGCTTTCAAGTGCTTGTTTTGTAACACTTGCTGTACATGTGTGCCATACAAGACGAATCTGGGTTTTTCAGTATACATTTTCACTAGCTTCAACTGCTTTCTGACATGGAACAAGCTTTAATTGCCTTAAGATGGTATTGAGGATACGGGATTCATAAGGTTTATATGCAAGATCGCTCCAAGGTGTATAAAATACTAAAAAAGAACTGTGGTTGAAGAAATTATTGTGTAAAGATAGAGATGGAAATTGTAGACTGAGGTGGATTCGTAGAATTTTGGGCTCATTGTTCGCCAGCCGCGGTTCTAGTTCACCTGACATCAATTTATACATACTATCTGTTATAGACCATTCTGGGACAATATGGTATATGCAGCATCATGTGTTCTCTCGGTTCGGGCACTATGAAGCATAGCACTGTAGTTGGCAATCGCAGGTTTGCTACACTTAAGACTCATCCTGCTATAAAAATTAAAGTTCGACATATAAGTCAATTTTTTTTCCTTTCCTTCCTGTTCTGTTTTCTTTAAGTGTCAGCATTGTTCGTGTATGTGCAGATCAGCTGTTGTAGTGCCTGTCATTCTATGTACTTGAGATACTGAAAGAAACCCGGTGGTGCTAGAGATCCAAAGGAAGGTGATGGAGTTCTTTATTTTTCTATCCCTTTTAAAGTTTGGTAGTTCTTTATTTTCTTATCTTCCCTTTTAAAGTTTGGTAGCTCTTTGTTTTTGATTGTTTAATATTTTTGCATACCATTGTTTCCAACATTCTTGTTGTCTAATATATATATAATATATATATATATATATATATATATATATATATATATGTTCCATGGCCATTATTGTTATTTTCTGATTAATATACATTAAGGAATTTACTTATCATGAAAATTTTGAAAATATAATATCTTTTACTTACGTTTGTAGAATGCACTGTTTCGAATCTATTCGTTCACCCATTGTGCACCTTGATGAGTGCTGATTTAACAGTATGATTTGGTTTCAGGTTGAACAATATGTGCAGTTGCATAAGCAGCGAAAAGCTGGTTATGATCAACCATTGTAGCAAAATTGTGACTTTGTTCTTACCTTTTGTGTCATTATTGTTGCTATTCCACTGCAAAACTGTCTATATGCAACTCAAGATGTCATTTATATAACAAAATTTTGAACTTTTTTAACTGCTTTCTGCCTTTTTCTGTGTATATAGCAATGACATTTATTTCAACTCTGATCAATGAATTGGAGCTATTTTCGTTATTATTATTTCAGTTGCGAATAAAATAGGTAAAATACACCAGAGGTTACTAAATTATGTTTAAATGATTGTTAGGTCATTGAACATTAGAATGTTTTTTACTCTACGACTATTTATCTATTTTATATGCTGAAACATTTTTTAAGTTTTTCGGTAGTCACTATTTATGGTTTTATTCATACTTACTATTCAAGCATCAGAACTAAAGGAATAAGGTAATATTAAGTCTTAGGAGTATGAATTGCTTTGTATTATGAGTTCTTGATTTAATGCTTTTTTGTTGAAGCGTTGATACATAATGTAGAAAAGCATAAGCTAGTGTATTTAAGGATACAATGTTCCTATAGGTAATATAACAGAATAATTAGCAATAGAATTTCACTTCCTCTAATAAATTGAAAAAAAAAAAGTATTTTTTTCAGAAGACCAATTCCTACAAACAGGATTCTGATTAATAGATTTGATGATCAAAACAAAGAAGATGTTGAATATCAAAGTGACTCTTTCAAAAGTTTTTTCAAATTAAGTTCATAAAATTTGAACATTCCAAAGCTTTAAACACTTCGTGATTATTTATTAGAACTAAGAAAAGAGTACCTTTTCAAATTGAATTTAAAAACTTCAAATATCGATGAATTTAAGCAAAATACATTATCGATTTGGGTTAATTAAAGGAGTTAAAGCACTTAGTCATGAGGCAATAAAAATTGTTTTACTCTAATACCCAGAGATTATGTTCGGAGATCCCATATTGACAATATAGAAAAAATTTCATGTACAAGGCCAATTCGTTTTACTTATTTTTCAAATTTTCTTGTCTCTATGATAAGTAAAGTTTTAACACTTCAACTACATAATTAAAATTACAAAACGCACCCTAGAATGTAAGTCTTAACATTTTATAGATTTTATTAGAATATAATATATTCCGTTGTTAAACAAAAATATTGGTACACTTTATTGATCTACAAGGATGATGAAATTAACGATAGTTAATGATTTAATTTGTAAAAAGTAAATTACAATATACTTAAAAAACTTAACAAGTTGAAAATAAATGCTCAAACACCTAAAATTTTTAAATAACAATAATCCCTTAACCACTTAAATTTTTTTACAACATATTCTAATTATTAAATTTTTATATGTAAAAATTGAGATTTTTCTTTTTTTATATATTTATTTACTTATGTTGCATGATCATGATATGTCACTTTCTAATCACACCACATCATCTCTACATAATAAAGTGAACAGTGATAACCTTCAACTTTAGAGACCAAAGTACAAACTCAAAACCTAATGTCTTAAGTGAGAGAAGTTCCATTTTTTTTGGGGGGGTGGTTGGGGGCAAATATGCAGTTGAACTCCATTTTAAAACCACCTGGTTCAAAAGTAGTAGCTTCTCGACATATTGTGGGATTCCAAGGCTCATTGTTTCCATCTACACTCGCATGTAGCGATAAAAAATCACAGAGATTGAAACTTTAGGGTTCCTTGGAAAACGAAGGTGTACTCATAATATAGAAAATTTAGAGTAAATACTAACCAAATTCCAATACTTGAAACTAAAACTTCTTCAACTTTACATGCATCTGCTACTCCCGCAAATGAAAACAGAAGCTTTCCGCATTTCATTATTACCCCACCACATATCCTCAACTTATCATTTAAAACAAACCCCCATTTGCAAAAAAACTGACCAAATTTTAGGCCAAGTACCTAAACGTGTAAACTTCTTCAACTTTACATGCATCTGCTACTCCCGCAAATGAAAACAGAAGGCTTTCCGCATTTCATTATTACCCCACCACCATATCCTCAACTTATCATTTAAAACAAACCCCCATTTGCAAAAAAACTGACCAAATTTTAGGCCAAGTACCTAAACGTGTTGGGATCTCCTTGTCTCTCTCCAGATAGTCTCTTGTGATAGATCTTCTATCCTCTTCTTGATGGCTTTAATATCAGGCTGCGAATACCGAACCACATCCGCGTGTTTGATTAATTTATTACTAAGAATAAACTTTCTAATCTATTAATAATGACTATGGATAAAAGGGTTGGCATATATTTAATACCTTGAACATGACTCAACTGCTCAACATTCCGACACTAATTGTTGGTGGCCTAAAACCTTTCTACTCTTCATTATGCGCACGATTGCAGCATCAATGGCATAACGACGATCTTTATCAACATCTTCAACCACTCTCTTCCTTTCATCCACTGGTGGGAGAGGAATCTGCGTAGGATGAAATACAAAGTTATAATCTTGTCATACAAATAGATAGTAAAGGCAATATTAATGTAAAGAGAGGAGTTGCAAGACTGTTACATACCTTAATCCGCCTCAACTTGTCGGTGAACTTGGAGTGGAACTCGAAGTAGTCACTCTGCAAGATGGCTTTTGTGTTTGGCTCTTTACTTAGAATCTTATACTTACACACGATAGCGAATGTAGCAATCTAACCAAGTCATCATGGGTCAAATTCAACTGAGCCATAATCTCTGAATAGCTCAGACGATCAGAATCATTGAAGAGCAGAAGGACAGCAGCCTGTTTACATAGGCAACTGGAGATCAGATTCTACCATCGAAGTTGAACACCAGATATCATCAAGAGACAGACATGAATCCAAACAAGATCACAATTTTTTTTTTCACTTTAAAGTGTACCGAGTTCAGGAGTCTCTTTACCTGGTATGTTGAGACAATCAGTTCGATGTTTTTTTGTTCAAACTTTCCATTAACGTGGCAAGTACCCAGCGAGTATATCCATGTGAGCTTTCTGTGTTTTGTTTTTGTTTCATAAAATCCTTTGAAAACTTCTACACACTTTACCTGAAACAATGAAATTCCTAAATATAAATAAAACTTCCGATCACATTGTGGAGAAAGATTTTTAATACTGTCATCATGCAAATGACAATGTTTGAAATCATTACCATCTCAGAAGGGAGATTGAGATCAAAAGATTTATAACTTGGCCAGAAACCTGTAGTAAGAACAGTAACTGTTAAATCAATCCCAGGATGTGCAGCTGCATTGTTCCTAAGATAGTCCTCAAAGCTGGCTTGGTTTTCCCTTGCCAGTGTAATCCGTGACCTTTTAGAAAGGCAGAACACAAGTTTCATCACAATTTTTTATATGTAAAAAATAAATCCAAGCAGACAAATATTAAAATACAGAAACACAGGCCAACTCACCATGCCCTCCATCTTGAGGTGAACTGTCCACCACATGCTGCTTTAGCTTAGTCAGAATACTCCTTTCATGATCATCATTAGCACTACGATCAAAAGTAATCGGCGAGCGAGCTTCTTCCTGTCAATGATTGCACATCGTAAAAGTAAGATCAAAATGAAACATAAAAAGTTACAGCGTTACTTTTTTTTTTTTTTTGCATTCTTGACAAATGATATGAAACTAATTGACAAAAAAATAAATAGACTCGCCTGTAGAATTCGGCAAAAAGATCTTTATCACTAATATAGGCAAGTAGTTTAACCACCTAAAGAAAACAAACAGATAGTCAGGATCAATTCATATCACCCAATCACAATAATTTAACATCAAAATTGATAACTACCTTCTCAAGTGTCTCTTCAACGGCTTCATCATTAATTTCTCACTTCCACCCTTCTTGAGGATTATCACAGAAAGTAGCCAAAAGTTCTGCACTTGAGCTGCCAGTAACAGTTTTGCTGCAGAATACCTCAAAAGCCTCTTTCAAGGCCTATGAACACATTTCAATAAAACATTGGTCAGGAAATGATGCGACATGATCCATAATAGACGGTTAGGACTACAATTTACAACACTAACCTTGTGAAAGAGAGTATGGTTTTGAAAACAGTCGGTCACGTATGCCATATACTTATCATGAAGCTCAATTATTTTCCTGATAAGGGCCTGATAATAGCATACAAATTTTCAACATCTATGCTGTTTTCAAGAGAATTCATAGCAATAAAAGTTGGGATATTTACCTGTTCCTGTACACCTGAAGTAC